TTGGATCGAGCGGAATTACATATTGGTATCACGTTCGAGGAGTTTCGACGCTTCTATCAATTTCTGAACAATCTGGACGATTTTTCGATAGCGATGCGAATGTACACATTAGCCGATCATCCTATATCCAAAGGTAAATATTAATTAAGATATTAATCAGAATAATCGACTTTTTAGTTTTTACTTATTAAAAATATTCACATTGCATTAAATTAACTAAATTTATTTCCCTTAAATGTTGTGAACTGCTTGAAACGTAAGTACTCTTTTGTCACATCTTTTTAATATTGTCTTTTTTTTTTCTAGACGAATTTCAACGCGCTGTAAAGATATGCACGGGAACGATGCTTTCGACTCACATAATCGACACAGTCTTCGCGCTATTCGATGTAGATGGAGACGGCCAACTCTCCTACAAGGAGTTTATAGCAATTATGAAAGATAGATTGCATAGAGGCTTTAAGGTAAGACATCGTGGATTTCTACAAACACTTTGAAAATATATAATATTCCACTTTTGAAGAATTATCTTAGAAGATGTATAATGTCTCGTATGAAATATTATAAAGTCGACTACACTTACTACAAAACTGAGAAAAGACGTGTACGAATGGTTGCCATTTTTCAGGCTCTACAGAACAATATACTATACATATAATATTATCGGGAAATTTACAAAATGCAATGAAAATATTGTAATCACTGTTGATTAGTAAAATAACTCGATCTTTTGTAGTCTCAACAACGCAATGAGGGATGGGAGGCATTCAAATTCTGCGTGAAACAAGAAATGAAAGCACCCTGAAGGAAAAATCGCGATGGAATGTGAATAGAAACGTGAAGGCACAAGGGCACTCGCTAATCTACAAAAATCTCATAAATACTGAATATTTTCCAATAGCATTGATCGTCATCGAATTATTTCATAATTCCTTACCTTTTTACTGATATTTATTTATTTGAAAATGTTAAAACGTGCAATATATATATATTATGTTTTATGCAATATACAGTCAAATTTATGTTGTAAATACAGTCAAGACCATATGTTGTTTAAATTTTAAATAATCATGATATATGTATATAAAATAGTCATATTATTGGTAATAGAAAAACGAAAACACATTTGCGTTCTAATTAATAAAAATAACAGAAACTATGAAGTAGAAATTCTATGTCCAATTATTCTATGTCTTTTCAACTGTTTTTATTGAGTTATTTATTCTTGTAATGATATATCTTAGTTTATTATATGAGTTCGTGATTAATCGTATTTTTCTATGATTGTAGCTGTCTCTACAAAAAAATTTTAGCGAAGTTTTTGACGTACGTAGAATGTCCAGAAATTGCACAATTTTTCATAATGTGTACTTTCTGGCAAATCTAAAGCCAATTTCTTTTATCTGATGTATATTTTAATGCGTTAAAATTTTAAAGTTTAATAATAAACTTTATAATTTCTGTTATATATGTATTTCCTTTCGACTTTTTATCCCCAATATCCTTTCAGATATTGAAACAACGATATTTCTCAACTTGGCTTCTAATATTTTAAACTTAGATTAAGTTCGCGATTTATAAAACATCCTATCTGGATATCATATTTAAGTAAATTGAAACATTTAAACATTTATACAGTGTAAATTGTATGTTATAAATTTTATATTAAAGATGAAGATAATGAACAAGCTATTGCTATAAAAAAAACACTAGCTAAACTTGTATAATTATTTAAATGTTTTATAAAAATAGTTGTTAAGGATTATATTGTTTTTTATCTCGGACAAAAATCTTTATTAAATTCTACTCAACAAGATGTTACAAGCAAAATTAGGTATTCGGATCCAGATATGAGATAATTATATCTGAGATAAAATTAAGTCGCTTCATGTCCTCAAGTTACAAAATACGGCTCATCCTACACGCGGCGGCTCAATTCTATGTTTGTGACGCCGACTGCGTGCCGTAATTGTTCGTTATCAGTCATCGCACCGATTGTACCGGTAGCGGTATGCTCTCGTGAACCAACCCGACGAAAAAAGGCGTGCCAAGGCGCAGACTCGGAACGCGATATCAGAATACTTCGTTACGCACAGAGATTCCATACAAAGCCGGGTAGTTTCAAAATTGTGTAATTACTGTCTAAGAATTCAGCTTCCCAGCGGTCTTAAATTATCACGAGAATACCATATGCAATTGCATAAGATTCTTTGTCGGCTGTCAGCTAAATGTTCCTATCTGTAAAATTTAACTTAATAAATCTTTACTATCAAACAGTATTAATTATTA